AAACTATAGGTACTCATATGCCAGATGTTTTTATGCTCTGTTACCAGCCAAGTCTCTAAAGAGATATAAGATTTCACTCTACATAGATTATTAGATGTGCAGGTAAACATTGTCACCATACAATTAAAGAGAGTGTTGGTAAATTATCATCCAGCCCTGGGTAAGCCAATGTCATTTTATTCAGGCCAGGTCTGCAGAGCTTTCCACGTGCTGGCAGATGGCCAAACAGACGACTACTCCTCTAAGTCAGGCTGGATAATTAATTTTGCTTATTTTTAATTCCAAAACAATAGTTTTTAGTGAACAAGTTGTGATGTAAAATTTGTGTAGAATGTATGACCTCTGGCTCAACTTCAAAACAATACAAGCACATTAATAGTGAAACAACTCTGTCTCTCTGTATCAGTCACGCCCCCACGTGCTCTATATAAATGTGTGCACGCTCAGCTGAGAGGTTGAGTTCTGCCAAGTAGAGGTGGAGCTGTTGTCTTCAGTGTTAATAAATATCAGCAAATTAATTGATGACAAAACGCATCAAGAATGGCATTGATTGTACAAACAGTGGACATCCTCATTAGATGGGCTACTGGAAAACACAGTTGGCACTCCCAAAAAAATGCTGCTTGTGCTGCATGCCTTGTAGATGTGTATGGGCTTAAGGAACGAAATAATTCATTAATCATCTTTTCTGTACATTGTGCATTTTACATCAGTTCTCTAAGATATATTAAAAACACATTAAACAGGCAATGTTGTCAAAATATAATTTATGGACAGCATCAAATCAAATTGTAATTTTACAGTTTGGAATATAGTAAAACAACTATTATATTTGTAAATGAGCCCTCTGTGTGAAGTATTTTACATCTATCAAAAAGACTGTTAAAGCAGGTGAAAATTAAAAGTGAAAAAGTGTTCTGCAATTAGCTCTAAAGCTATGTTCCCATTTTTTTCTCTCCATTTGTACAGACAGATAACCATTCCCTGTAAGTGCTGTAGCACAATAGGTTTATCAATGTATGATGCAAGTAGAATGAAATTTCTTCCTATCCCTGCCCCAACTAACTAGGGGGAAACATTATTGGTTAGCCATCTTAGGTCCCTTTGCTACATCCCCTGAACTTTTGGCTTCAAGTTATCTTGATTATGTTATTCATGCACCTCAATTACTCAGATAATTAGATCAGGTATCAGTCATTCAAAATAAAAATTCAAGTTTTGTAGTTTGGTGCTCATATCATCTCAAACAGAATTAGAAATGACTGAAACTAGTTGTAATTTGTTGGTAATCTGCTTTGAAAGTACATGGAGAGTAGGGGTGTAACGGTACACAAAAGTCATTGTTCAGAACGTACCTCGGTTTGGAGGTCACGGTTCGGTGCCTTTTTGGTACAGTAGAAACAAGGATTTTTTATTACTTCTCATTCAACCCTGGTTCACTATGACTGTCTTTCTTACCTAAGTAACGTTTACAAGAGTAAAATAACATAATAATCACTCTCATAAATAAATAAATAAAAAAGGCCCTCACCAGAAAGTTTCAGCTTGGATACATGTACTGTTACACCCCTGATGGAGGCCCATGTGGCAAATACTGCAAGAGCCAAAAAATCACTTCATAAACTGTGAATATTGAGCTTCACCACAGGGTCTAGGTAAGAGTTATCAAATTTCCTTGCTCTGTAGGCCTGGCAAGCTGCAGTCACTTACAGGTAGAGTGATCTGCTAAATCCTCTAATGTATTAGGGCTGCCTGCCATGCTCTTTCTCCAGTCCTAATGGGATTACATAGTGTAGTGTCCAGCAGTGGCAGGGTGCTCACATGCAAGCCTCTGTAGTGCAGGGAAATACACACAGTCTAACTTCTGCTGGGTGAAAAGAACGTTAAGCCTGTGGTTTTCAGTGAGAAGAAAAATTTGTGACAGAATGATTCATGTCCAAATGTTTTTTAACCATGCGAAGAGGTAAATTTTGTCAACCCAGTACCTTTCCATGGGTTGTTTACCTCAGCTGAAAGCAAACACATGCCATCAAAGTTAGCAAAAAGTATCATCATGACACACTGAAAGTTAACAAGAGGAAAGAGCACTGGCAGAAACTCTACCCATTTTTCTCGGTCTCACCATGAGAATAGCCAGAATATCTATTGTTGTTTGCATGTTTTTGTCTTGACATAAGCAGCTTACATGTCTTGTTTTCCAATAACATCCGCAAACCTAATAGTTTATAGCAAATGTGAAGAGGGTCTGTAATCCTGCTCCTTTCCATTAACCTGACAATACGATTTATAAAAATTAAAAAATGTTTGAGAATCTTCACAAATCATCCAGCGGACATAGAGAAGAAGAATGATGAATCATGATTACTCCTCCTGACAGCATAGCCAGAAGGAGGCTGTTCTCTCCCCTGTGTGTGTATGCACAAAATAACTTAAAGGGATAGTTCACCTGAAAAATGAAAATTCACTTATCATCCATTCACCACAATTGTGATGAAGGGGTGGGTAAAGTGTTTGAATCCGCAAAACACTTCTGGAGTCTCAGGGGTAAACAGCAATACAATTGAAGTCAATCATGACCTCTTCTTCAGATGTAATAAAACAACAGAAAAAACATAACATGCCTCCATTCTGCACGTGTGGTGTCATCCAAGGGTCCGCAAGCCCTACATTCATATTTGACTCGAAACAAGGTCATTTACACTGTGTTTTAAGCCTAAAAGTACCAGCAAGTGAGTATCACCACGGACAACGGCGCCAAAATTGTGAAGGCCACCGAAATCAACAAGTGGGTCAGACTTCAATGTTTTGGCCACAGGCTGCATCTGTCCGTTGGTAAGTGTTTAAATGGCTGGGGGAATTAACTGATCTGCTTGTCACTCTAACGGTAGTGTATATTGTAATCTTATTGCTTTGTAACTTGAATAGGTATGGTTATTCGTTGACATGATAGAATATAACATAAGGTAATATAGATAGAAGATCATATGCCCATTTTGTCACCTAATCTTACATTAATTAGTTTCAATTGTGAGAGGAGAGGAAGATGGGAGAGAAGGGAGGAGACAACAGGTGAAGGGAGAGGAGACATTAGGAGAGGAGAGGCTACACTGGAGAATACACACATGGAGGGATGAATTTTATTTAAGTGATAGTGAAGGGTAGCATAAAGAGCAAAGTGAGACAGATGAAAAATGAACAGCAGAGACTTTGTATTGTATAGCATGGTGCTTTATAACCTATTGATTTTAAGCTCATGCACACAAGTTAGGCTACTAAATGGTAGGTGATTGTAGTCTTTCTCAAATGCTGTAGCATTGGCGTTATTAGTCTTTAATTATTGAAGTTATAAAACTAAGTTATATATTGCAGTTTTAATTAATCATACATTTTTGTCTTGTGTCTTGTCTTCTCCCCAATCATCAGTTAAAGATGATGGCCTCAGTGCTCGAGCTGCTGGGCTTTGCAAAAAGTTGGTGGGACATTTCTCCCACAGCTGGAAATAGAAAGTGGCACTGAAAAAAGCACAGCAGGAGCACAACCTCCCAGAGCACTCACTCATAGCCCAATGCCCAACTAGGTGGGGTTCCAGGCAAAAGATGATCGAGAGAGTCCTGGAGCAGCAGCAGGCCTTATCTGACATTCTCACAGCAGACAGAAAATAAAGGCATTCGTTCCCACCTCACAGGACATGGATGTGGTTACGTTTGTAAACCAGACATTATAGCCTCTTCAAGAATTTACAGATGCTCTTTCAGGTAATAGTTACTTGAGTGTTTCATACTTGAAACCAGTCTTTCATCTGATGAAGACATCAGTTCTTGCAGAGAAGGAAGAAGACAGTGATTTAACGAAGTCCAGTAAGAAGAAAATCCAGTGAAAAGGTTGCAGACATCAAGACCAGGGTGATGTCAGAAATGGAAGCAACAGCATGGAAGTTAATAAGGTTATTATGTTTATTTGACACAAGGGCTGGTGATAAAATATTCCGCATACACAAATAAGATATTGTATGATCTTGAATGGAACACAACATATATCATAATATGCAGTGGAAAATGAATAATGTATTTTTAAAGGCTGTTTTCTTATCTCTGTTCTAGGAGAGAGGCCCCACTGACCCAGAGGCCCAGAGCACCGATCCACCCAAGACAGCTTCAGCCCAACTTGAGCAAGCTGTGAAAACTTTATTGCCATGCAACTAAATTGGTTCATTGTCAACATAGCAGCTGTAGCCAGGTGGAAATTCTTCAATAAAATAAATGTTGGAAAAGGAATAATGTTTTTCGTTTTTTTTGTGTGTCTGCATAGGCTACTCACCATTCCACCCATCTATATATATTACATATGATAAGTCAGAGTGAAAAAGACAAACATCTGATACATCAATCTAATTTATGTTTTCTGATTTTTTTCTTTCATATTTACTTTTTACTGAAGTACAGTTATTGAGTAAATGTACATATTTTCCACCACTGCATGACAGCCACAAACTATAAAATTGATTTTGGATGCAGTTTTCTGTTAAGCCCCTGTGTACAGGGCCTGTATGATGAAACATAAATAAATAAAACATTTATTAGAAAGAACTTCCAAAAAACCTCCTTTTAGTTTGTTCTTTGTGTGTCACTGTTTATCCATCTCTGGGGGGTGTCGCTGATCAAATTATTCCCTGGTAAAGTGAAGCATGAAGGCCAAACCCTGCCAAACATCGATCTGGACAAATACCCACCCCCCCCCCTACATTACCCTGACTGTGCATTCTTTTTTTAATTCCTTTTCATGATTATCTTTTTCTGCAAATCACAGATTGAGTAAAATCATTTTACACTGTTCTATCAATGTAATTCACCCTGTCTTGCCTTATCTCAGAATCTCAGTTTTATTTCCAGTTTTCCTTGGTACTTATCTTCTCTTTGTGTTTTTACCTCCTCCTCTTTGCCCATTCCCTCTCTGCCACCCTCCTTCCCTGCCTCCCTCTCCCTCCCTCTTGTCTCTCGCAGGCAAATGATGCACGCTGCAAGCTGAGTGTGCGTGTAGTGTGAGCGAGAGTCATTGGTGTGTGTGTGTGTGTGTGAAGAGAGAGAGAGAGAGACATAGACTGAGCCCCTAACACGGAGCATGCCTCTGCGTCCGGCAGCCGGCAAACATGAGCCACCCAGCCCTCCACGGCAGGACCAGCAGCACCAGCACACACACACACACTCACACACACTCACACACCCTTACACACACACAGCAAACGGCAGCCAGGGGGCCAGCACTGACAGCAGCAGCTCCCGGGAAGAGGACAGCGGCGTTCCTGTTCCTGTCGGTGTTCCGGCTTTCTGTCCCAGTGCACAGCGGAGCCACAGTGCAAGAGCACCCATGGAGGAACCCACAGGCAATACTGTGGTCATCCGCATTGGTATCCCAGACCTACAACAGACGGTAAGGGCTTGTTCTGTAGCCACTGCTGGAGAGAGGATAAAAGAGAGGGAAGCTGCATCTCCCCCTGTCTCTCTGACTGGATGCTTTCTTACATCTCCTCCGTCTGCTTAATTAATTTTTCTCTCATTTTCTCTTTCTTTGCGATCATTTATTTAAAGCCCACCCTTCTTCTTTCTCTTTCTCTACTTGTGTGCTTTTTGTATATGCACACTTTGTGGCTGTATTTGCTTGCTGGCTTCTGGGGGGTCCACTCCCCCTCTCCCATTCCACTGATGTCTCGCTAATAAATCTACCTCTTCATTAACTAGGCTTCAGCTGACTTTGACAACTGGCCACTTAGGGTGAGAGCAGGGAGGTACAGAGAAGAGGGGGAGAGAAAAGGCATCCAGAATGGACAAGGCTATGCGAGGCATTGTAAATCCACAGGAAGACACAAAGTAGAAAATCAAGACAGTTATACCTGAATTGTGAAACTTAACCTCACCCTGTCTCTCAGTCTCTGCCAAGACAGAGATCCAAGCCAACATTCGTCTGACTAAAATCTTTGCCCAGCAGTTCCCCTGAGGATGTAGTCTGTCTTTTTTATAAGGCATCCAGAGACTGTGACATTGATCCTTTCTTTATTTTCCCATTTTCACTCCTTACAAAATCCCTGCAACCATGTCTGTCTGTTCGTTATCTGCAGAAGGGGATGTGGAACAGATCCTCAGCTTCATTTCATGAATTTTATTAGGCTCTGCTATTGTAGTTCATATGGATTTATCTTTTCTTTTGTATTTCTGTAATTTTTTGTTGATTACATCAGCAGCCATGTTAATGAATTGTCATCTGGCTATATCTGTTTAAAGTAGTCTATTACTTACTGTTAAATGAGGACAATACTCCCATTAAAATGTCCATTACAAGTCACATGTTGAAATGATCTTGAACAGACATGGTGTGGAACTGCACATACATGCAGAGAAGAAACATTTTACCCATCATTGGCTGGAGAATCAAATGAAGCATTATCATTTCAACATATCTCTAACCACATCCCTCTCCCTGTAGCAGAGTAGCACACACATAAGGTCACACTATTAGAAAGGTACCACATGACTTTTTCCATGCAACAGCACAGCATTAAGCTTTTTATTACTAATGTCCCTCTGTGTCAAACCACCCCACCTCTCCTGCTCTCATATTTTCACTGTTGACTTCCTCTGCTAATGCTATGGTGAAATGCAACGAGTCATCTACAAACTCTTACTAAAGTCCTCAGTCTGTGGCTTATTTTGAATTCATTTCAGATTATTTCTCCAGATGCTGATGGTGAGAGCAAGTGACTGTCTGTTTGTTATTGTTGATTACCTCATTGTTGTTGGCTACTTGGCTGAAATGACCCATTGTATCCTAGTGAAGCTCCAGCGCTGCATGCCAGAAATAAAGACAGGACATAAAAGGAGAGCAGTTGAAAAGAAAGCAGAGAATTCCCCAAAGGTGCTGCACAATCACTGTCTGTGAACAAAAACGGTTTTCAGTCAGGCGCACACACACACACGCGCACACACACGCGCGCACACGCGCACACACACACACGCACAGGCACTTGCATTCTTGTCTTTCCCCAGTTGTGAGGAAACTTACTGTCAAAATGCATCCCCACCCAAACCCCTATTCTAATCTCAACCATCACATCTAACTAATTCTAGCCCCACCCAACCATGGAAATACATTTACACACACACACACACACACACACACACACACACACTAACACACACATCTTCAAGTCAATGTCAAGCTTACACCATATAGACGCAAAGTCATACTGTATACATGAGCACACAAGAATGCCCTTTAACGCACACGTTTGCAAGTTGCATGCACACACATAACACACACAACTCGTAAGTCCTAACCCTATTACCACTGGACTTCCCTTTGCTGTGCTCAAGTAATTTAAAGATCAACATATCATTAGTTTTACTTTAAAGGCGTCACATTTAGTTTGATATATGACAACAGCCAAAAACTTGAAGAGCGTGACACAATGATAAGTAAAGAAACAAACAGAGAGACAGCCTGAAAGTCTGACAGACAAACAAAGGCAGATAGATGACAGATGGTCAAACTCTGACAGTTTGAATCTTTTATGGAGTACTCAAAAGTGACTTTTGTGTATTCTGAGTAAGCAGGAGATTACACTAGAATAGTCCGCCTGAAGTAGGATTACACATCTCCTGCTGTGTTTCAAGCCAGGATCAGGAGAATGAAGCACCATGCAAAGATCACACCTGGCAACACTTTACCCTATCAGCAGGACAGAAGGGAGGAGCAAGTCTAAAATGACTTAATCCTCACACCTCCTATTTCAAATGCTGGTGGGTTATATCAAATGGCCACTGTTTTGGCAAGCTAATTTGTGGGGATACATTTTTTTTGCAGAAGGGAGATTTAACATTATAGAGATTTAAAAAAGACATACACACAGCCTATAGTGAGAGCATCCACTCGTGGTTAGCCTTGTATAATAGTGAAATGGCTGCAGGTACAGAGGCATTTCTGTATCATTTCGTTTTTCCACCTTAGGGCCACAAAATGACAGCTGGGGCATAGGAGCTTGAATTCACTACCTAAGTGATAGGAACAGTCTTAAAGGCTATAGCTTGACCTGGGCTACTGTATCCCAATATTCCCACCAATAATTTGGTTCTGAGGATTTTTGTGTTTACAACAATAGTGTAATGGAGATTTCAAAGATAAAACCTGGCTCTTGTTATGTGTACTTTTCTTAGTTTTTGGTGATGAAGGTGAAGTAGAATAAACCACAGTGGTGGAAAAATTGGTGTTTTATTACATAAAAGTATTGCTCAGTCCTCTGTGTAACTTTAACTTAGTCCTGTGTACTGTGGAACAGGAGATACTAAAGTTGCATTAGCACTTGATTCTACCATTTGTTCATCCAGACTGTTGAGCAGATTATTTGCAAAGATTGTTGTTTTTTCGGATCATGGGTATCAGTTGACATTTCTCTTATCCAACTTCACCATAACTCAATTTTAATGTTTGCAGCAAAAAAGGCACCTTCCAAATACTGCTAATAGGTGTCAGTCATCTTTCAAGAGGAGTGGGAGATGCTGACATCAAAGGTCTGCCCACTTCTCTCTACCTACATCCGATCTTATTCTTGCTGTGCTTTTCTTTCTGCCTATTTTAGGCCATGCTCCCTATATTCATTCACTGAAGATGTTTAGCTGTCAGAACTATAACAATGGGATGATGGATTTGCTGCAAAGTGAACAAATAAATGGAAATAACTAAATTACAGGCCAGTATGTGCCTTCTTTAACCATGTATACACACATCATTTTGTGGGTTCTGTAAAGTATGTTAACCGTTCAGAGAACCATTTGTTTGTCTGGTTTTGAGACAAAAATCGATGACTTGTAGGATCCAGCCTTGACTTTGTACATTTTTACTCATATGATTAGATTTCCAGCTTGCACCATACAGCCTCATACTAAGTGCTGAACTCTGAACGTTTTTTCTAGTTGATAAACCTGTTGACCTTAAGTTAAAGGTCTACTCTTGTGCCTTCTCAATTTGCAACTGGTGTAATTTTTACTGTTAGTCTCTGCCACCTCTTTTGTCTTACCAAGTTCCCATGTAGGGCTTTTTCTTGTCTAAGGTACCCCCTCCACCTCCCCATTCTCCCTATATGTTGCTGTGATGCGATGTACTTAGACCAGGTTATTTTCAGGAGCCATTTTACTCATGGATGCTTCATGTTTCATTCAGGATGCTGACCTTGATGCTTGATTCTCTATCTAGCTGGCAAATACTCTGCGGATGCTGAATTTGAATTAAATTGTGTACTCCATCTTCAAAATCCAAAGACACGCAAAGTCTTATAATTTAAGACTCTAAATCGTGCGTTGTGAATGTGATTGTGAAGGTTTTTTTGTCTCCATGTGTCAGCCCTGTGATAGCCCAGGGTGTACCCTTCCACTCAGCCACTGTCAGCTGGGATTGGCTCCAGCCCCCATAACCCTCATAGTGGTGTAGCTAATGGACAGATGAATGTTTAAAGGACCTCCATGTATTCAACTACACAACCAGTCTCACTGTGTGCTCAGAATTTCTGTCTGAATCTCTGACTGATTACACAGTTACAGAGAGCCTGAAATCAAGAAAAACTAATGTAAATTGAACTTAAGCTCATCTTTGTAGAAAGTCCAGTGAATAATTACTTTGGAAGCAACCAGGTTAAAGCTACAGCTTTAAAGTTTTACAGGCCTTTACCCTCTATTTCACAAGTACTACTCAGAAAATTAAGCTCATCTGAGAAGTGCTAAAACAAAACAAGGCATAGATAGTATAAATAGCTACTGTTACTAACAGTTGAGTATGTACTTACTGTTAAATTTATTTGCAACAATCGTTGAATTTCAGGTTATTAATGCCATTCTGTTTTCAGCACATGCTTTACAGTTCCACATCATTATGCTATTGTTGAAGCTCCAGATAAACTGGATCAGTTTGCCAGTTTTAGGCTTTCCTGTATTCAGTCCATGTTCATTCTCTGGCTTAGCAAGTAAAGTGGGAGCGTGTGGTCAATAAGTGGTTTATCTGTGCTGCTGGTAGGCCTGACCCTGTTTGGTCGATGGATAGATTGGTTGGTGGGTATGTTTGTGCACAACTAAGAATTCAGTACTAAAATGCTTTTTCTAGGACCTACATGGTTGATCCTGCATAAAAAGGAAATGATTTAATTGTGTATAAGACAATTACTGTAGAATGTTTGATGTGTGACAAATAATATTATAGTTAACTAGCCCTGCCCTT